TTAAGGTATTAAGTAGCAAGATTATTTTTTTATATTCCATCGTAATTAATTTTTAATTAGTATCCAATATCATAAACATTATCCAACTGCGAGGATTTATTATTATTTTATTTTTAACAATTATTTCTATAATTCTATCTTTATAAATAGTTGATAGAACTTTTTCCCTAAGCCAAGATTATTGCCCGTATACTGAATGTGGGTCGAACATATGTTGAGGTCGTTACGATATATAAATGTCTCAAATTGTCTCAGAAACTTTTTGTAAGTAGTACAACTTGTCTCTTGAAATATTAAACTTGAGTTTATTTCATTAAATATAACGCATATTTATATTTGAGTGACTGTATTTTATCCACATAATAATTATTATTTAAATTGCCTGGAAGAGATCTTTATTTACGTTGCATTGAAATAGTTGATTTGTTAAAAATAATTTTATATTCGGTAAATTTTATTTTAAATGTACTATATGCAAATAAATGAACCTAAAATAGCGGTGCTACCACCTTTGAACTTATATTTCTGTGTCTATGTCATGAAATTTTATTTCCTAACAGGTAAGTTAGGGATCAGACTTTTATTTCTGACAAAAAAATATTTATTCCGTTTTTGGCTATTATGTATATATTATAACTATTATAATATATACGGTTTGCTACGCAAAGCTACGTTATGCTTCTGGTATGAATAGTGGCCACATGAAAAGAATTTCATAGAATCCAAAGGGAGGAAGAATCAATGAAATCCAAATAGTCAAATAGTAAAATTTATATTAATAAATGAGGCATTTTTTTTTTCCCCCGTTTTTTGCCGCCCCCCCCACCCCCGGCCGGTGCCCCCCCCCCCCCCTTTTTTTTTTTTTTTTTTTTCCACCCCCTCCCCCTCCCCCTCCCCTTTCTTTTTTTTTTTTTTTTTTTAAAAATTTTTTTTTTTTTTTCGGCCCGATTTGAAGGCTAAGGCCCGGTACGGAAATTTTATGAGGAGTAAAATCAAGTGTAACACGAAAAGTTGAGGCGTTATGTAGTAAGACACGAAAAGTTGAGGCGTTATGTAGAAAGAGATGGAATACATTACACAGACTTTTCTTTTTTGAATTCACTTTTGACAACCCCCTTTCAAACTTTGCGGGGGGGGAGGGGGGAAAAAAAAAAAAAGAGTTTTTCGCGCGCCCGCGGGGTTTTTTTTTAAAAAGGGGGGGGGGAAAAAAAAAAAAAAAAAATTTTTTTTTTTTTTTTTTTCTTTTTTTTTTAATATTTTTTTCCCCCAAAAAAAAACCCCCTTTGGGGGGGGGGGGGGGGGGGGGTTTTTTTTCCCCCCCCCCCAAAATTTTTTTAAAAAAAAAAATTTTCCCCCCCCCCTTTTAAAAAAAAAGGGGGCCCCCCCCCCCCAACCCCCCCCCCCCCCCCTTTTTTTGGTTTAACCCCCCCCCCCCCCCCCGCCCCCCCCCCCCCCCCCCCCCCTTTTTTTTTTCCCCCACAAACAAAAAAAAAAATTTTTTCCCTTTTTCAAAAAAAAAAAAAAACACAAAAGGGTTGTGTTGGGGGGGCCCCCCCGGTTTTTTTTTTGGGGCGGGGGGGGGGGGGCCCCCCCTCCCCCCAGGGACGCTGTAGTTAGCTCAGTATATTGTCTTAGCTTGAGTAAATCGGATTCGAAGTGAGTTAGAGAACTTAAGCAGAAAAAGAAATGAAAAGTAAAATATGTATTACACCGCCTTCGTATGATATTACTGTATCAAAGTCCATCTAGCAAAAAGAATCGTAGGCGTAGTCCAAACGGATCCACTTCTACTATTTCCCGTATCTCATAAGACAAGCTGATGTAAAGTTATGCTATATTAATAAGTTATATTTTTATTACTAAAATCATAATAAATCTACTAAAGTGTCACTGTACATGTGTGTGAACCACATATGAAAGAATATTACATACTCTCTCTTCACTATGTTAAATTACTGAAATTTTTTTATTCACCAAAAATTGTTTTCATTCAAGTTGCATGTTTAGGAGAAATACGTGGATTTCAAAATACCGTTTCATATAGTTGCATTGCTCATTCAAAGAAAACAGGTATAAATATTAAATATCTTTTATATTTTTTTCTACAACGTAGCTTGAATTGGGATAGCATACCTATCGATAGATATCTCACAATCACTTTAATATTATATTCATATGCCTATAAGTTATTTTATTTTCAGCTTAAATGAAAACTTACCTTACTTTAAATTGATAAGCAAACCACACAATATGCGAACACTATCAAGGTTTATGCATTGATATTAATAATGTTATTTTGATGGGAAAAGTTGGCAGATCCAACCGTAATAATTATTGTTTTCTTGAAATCGAGCCTTCCAAACTACTTTTTTTTACACTTTCGCTGGGGCATTGAATAGTACAACATAATTTTTTATTAGAAGGGACTGTTTTCTTGCCTGGCCTTTTGTTGTAGCCTATTTTTCTGTAGGTAAAGAGAAGGCAACAAGAAAAAACAAGAAAAGACATAACATTAAAATTGAAAACAGTAATTTCACCATCCAAAAAGTATTTTATGTAACACAAATAGTTTATATTTGATTACAATTTATAGTTTTGGTCATATTATGCACATTCTCACCTGGATTATTATTTGATCACTATATTAAGGGATTAGCTTTTAAAGATACCCGCTACATCCGGGAACAGGAAAAAGCGTAGGCTTCTACGATAACACACAGAACCCTAAAAAACGCCTGTTTAAGCGTTTTGAACCTCTGTACCTGAATAATATTGCTATAAAACTAATTTCGTATACTTTACTTTCTATAGCCATAGTGGAAAGACTGCCAGTACCGGATCGGATTCCTTTGAGAAGTCTTACAAACTATATAAAGGAGATCTAACGGTGCAGACGATTACTAATGACCTAATCGATAATATCGTCTACATACCACGCTCGACGTAGCAGGTTCACTCAGTTTAAGAATATTCTAACCGATCTTTAGCATGATTGTAAATTGACTGATTTGTTTGTAACAGTTGTAGAGTATTAACTGATCGAGTAGGATTTAAGAAAAGAGGCACAAAGACCTCCAACGCATTGGCCAGCAAGCCCGGCCGATAGCATTTAAGGGCCTACGATTATTTTAATAAATGTTCGTTTGTTAGACATCCAGCCGCATAAACAATACGCTCATAGCAGCACATAATATAAGAGAAAATACGCACACATGCTCAGAAATAAAGGAAGTTAGCCTATATGCCTTTTTATAATTTGTGGGTACTTAACTGAATAATACATAAAATTTCTTGTTATGTTGGACAATCAAGTTATAAAATAATTACGTCAGTCAGTTACAATAAATATATAAATATAATAAAGTCAAATGTAATTATTAAACAGGTTTCTAATTAAAATTTCCTACTACCTACTTGTAGTAAAATATTTGAAAAAATTATATTAAATAATTAATATTTTAATAAAAAATTATTACATAATAATCAGTTGGTTTTACCAAGGGTCGCTCACAGCCGATGCCGGTTTAGTTATATAGATATATAGTTAAGGCTTGGGAGGAGTCCATACCTTTAGTTTTTCTCACTTATCAAAGCATTTATTGTGTCCAACCAACCTTATCGAAACTCCCCACTATGCATCAAAATACCGCACTAATCTTCTGACTTCCTATTTACACGGAAGAATCAGAAGGTTGAAGTGAATGGTAAGAGGTCCTCTTCCAGTAGATATGGGGTACCACAGGGCTCAATTCTTGGCCCTTTCCTCTTTCTTGTTTATATAAATGATCTACCTTTATGTAGAGAGAAAAATCAGATAGTTTTGTTTGCTGATGACACGTCCTTATTTTTAAAATCAAACACAAATAACAAATTTTGACGATGTGAACAATCTTTCTTCATTGTCATTGGTTTAGTATGAATAACCTTCTACTTAATGCAAAAAGACAAAATGCATTAAATTTTTGTCAAAAATCAAGGGTTATGGATACTAGACCAATTATAAACAGTGAGGAATTGAATCTATATCAACTTATTTCTCGGAATCACCATGGATTCAAAACTTCAGTGGTCCCCTCATATTAACGGATTGGCAAGAGACTTAGTTCTGCACCTACCGCGTAAAAAAATTCCTCACTAACTGATGTCGATACAGCTAGACTTGTTTATTTTAGTTACTTTCATAGCTTAATGACTTATGGCTTATTATTATGGGGTCATCTCTATGTCAAACTATTTTCATCCTCAGAAGAGGGCTATTCTCAATCTATAATTTAAAATGTAGGGAATCTCTTAGAGATAAATTCAAGGAAATTAATATACTTACCTTTCCCTCCAATATATTTATGAAAATATTATGTATGTATACAAAAATAGTGATAAGTTTACTAGAATAGAACATACGCACAATGTTAATACACGGAACAAACCAGGCTGCAATTTCCCCGTACTAGACTATCTAAAGTTAGTAATTCTTTTTTTGGGGAAAGGGATACTTCTTCTTTAATAAAATCCCAGAGGCTCTTTTATCACTGCCTTTCAATAAATTTAAGAAATGTATTAAAGAAAAGCTGTGTAAAAAGGCTTACTATAAAGTCAACGATTATCTAGTTGATAAAAGGGCCTACTATCTAGACAGGCTACTTCTAATCAATTTGCGATATTTGTTTTAAATAAGTGTTGTTTGATGATTTGCTGTTTTAAAAGAGTACCGAGATTTTTTACGCCGGCTTTTTCTCTCGGCCTACACCCTCTGTCTTCTTTGCCGATGAGTAGGGATGCCTTCAAATTTAATGACGTGGAATAAGTGATAACATGTATCTTATGTTCCATAATAAACAATTTTTTTTATATTTTTTTTTTTAAAAAAAGAGACCTGATTAATAACAAGAATTCACTTAGGCACTTAATTCGAAGCGAAAGATGTCCTTAAGAATCCCGTAAAAAAATAGTTAAACTCGTGAGTTTATCGTGATAAAAACCCTTAAAAATAAATCAAATACTTACGAAGCAGGTATACCGCCAACGAAGACATCGGAGTTACTATTGAATTTTCCAAAGTTAAACTCTTTGCCTCTCGACGTTTTGCTCTGCGTGCTTCCATCCACTGTTAGAGAGGTGTGTTCGTCACGTCTAGCAACCTGGGAGTTAAAAACAGCTAAATAATAAACACAAGTGGACCTGTCAGAAAAAAATTATTACTAAGAAAATTTGTATTATGTATGAAAATTACTATTAAGTACAAAAAAAAATAGCTATACATATATTAAGAAACTTAGTTTACTACCAGGTAGCCTAAAAAATACTTACAGCCTCAGTTGTTCGAAATTCAAAATACTGAAATCCTACGTTCATTGAAAAAGACTATTACTATTTTCAGTATCGAGTAAGTAAAATTACCTAAATGATATTACAAATAATTAAACTAACCTGAACTTTATGCCAATGTCCATCGTTCAAATTGCTTCCAACGGTTATAATTTGCGCACCACCACCCAAATTGTATCGCAACCTTAACGCACCATTCACTAATTTCAATTCGAAAAAGTCATACGTGCCGCCGTCATCTGTATACAATAGTAGACCGTTGGGTTGATCCGTTTTAAATTCAAGCTCCAATGTGCCATTAAGAGCGGCATCCCATTTTCTGAACTGCGAATATGGATTCTGTTTGTCGAGAACGAACGCGAAGTTTATGTGAAGGGATAGAGAAAGGAGACAAAAGAGGAAATAACGCATCTTTCTGATTGCGAGGTACATGTGTGTGCGGCAGCTATCATGCGACGCCCGATGAGTGCGCCCGTTTGCGTTTCATTTCTTAATTACCTGAAATAGATGAAAAATATCTTTTTAAAAAAAATAACTTCTTACAACAAGTATTTAATGTCATCATGACAAACAGTCACTGAAATTCAACTGTTCTTCACAGGGTTCAAATTCACGCTTTTAGAAGCAAGTAAAAATAAAACCTTTTATCCAATATCCAACTTCGAAGCGACGATATAAAGGGTTATTGATCTCTTGTAGCTGTGTTATTCGATCTAAACTTTAAATAAAAAGAACGTTAAAGCAAGATATCGTTTAACGGGAAGAATAAAAGTGTAACTAGGAATTGAATATTGCGTGTCCCACGAGAATGTAAATGCATGCTCCTATTTCACCAAGCCTACTGCTGATAGAGGACAAAACTTTGTTTTTTTTATGAGTATAGTTTCTTACTTAAAGATGTCATGTGGAACATGGTGTAATGGTTGCAGCCTTACAAATATTTTGTAAAACAAAAAACTTGGCGATTAAAAAGAGTGGCGGAGAGTTTATTGCCAGTTCTTCTCGTCCATTCTACGCCTTTGATTTGAGAACTGGCAGTAAATGTAAAATTTGAAGCATTTAATATGTATTTCTTTATTGACGTTCATAAGTGTACATTGTGTTACCTAAATAAATAAATTATTATTATAATTAGTAAGTTAACTTTACTTTGAAGTCACAAGTTATTTACATCAATAAATTCTGCCGATTTGATGTGACTATTAAAATAGATATATAAGTATTTTTGAAAGTACTGATGTAACAGTTATAATATCCGAACGTGAACAATAAACATTCGGTGGTAGAACTCATCCAAAGAATGGAAACAAGTCCATCTGAAAATTTGTAAGGAGTAAACGTTCAGAGAAAAGGCACTCAAAGCAACAAAAGTTTTAAACTAGGCCGAGATAACGCACGATATGTTTTACTAGAATCTAAATACTCAAAATATTTCACCAATGATAAAATACAGTCGTGGTGAACAAAGTCAAACACACTATCCTACCTTGTTAATTAACCAATACATTTATTATCAAGGTATTAGGTCTTTAACTCTAAGAAAACATCTAATGGGTATCTTTTGGGTGATTATGCTTAATTTTCATTAAGAATTTAGAATGTACTTATAACGTTTTTACGACTTTTAATTAAAAAAAAACAAAAGTTCTAAAAATGTAAAAGACTCATAAAATTTGTATGAAAATAAAAACAAATATTTTAGCTATTATTTCTAAATTTTCAGTGAAAATCCCGTACCCTGTCAAGTATTAAAATTGTTGACTAAAGACTCATTTTATCTCTCATTTTTACACGGAATTTAACCTAAAAAGAAGTCATTATTTGGCTAACGCAAGGTATGCAGAAATAGGCTGCACTTGCGGAGCTCATTCATAGTTAATCACTTAGACTAACGAAGGTAGTTTCTCCAAAGCTCCACAACTTGGCAACCTCCCGCCGATTCATGCTTTTTGTCCATTTTTCAAGTAGTCGTTCGCGCCAACTCTCTCGCGCCAGATTTGACAAGTTTTTAATTAATCTGCATGTTCGAGATTCAAATAAATTTTGATAAGTTGAGTATATACTCTACTATTTTCTTAAATCGGTGTCTAGTTTCTATAGTGGCAAATTGAGCCTTGGAATATTTGATAATTTGGTGACTGTACTTACCCGAGTACACATTAACAACCCAACTTTTAACTATAAAACGTCAGACATTCTTAGTTTAAAAAATATAAAAAACATTTCTTACCTTGGAGAAACAAACAATTACTCATTGATCGGATTTTCTAGACTTCTATAAGTTGTTGTTTATGGACGTTATAAATACTTTTTATACTGAATCTTTATCATAACTTAACTAGTCAAACTGATAAATTCAGTATAGTAATAGAATGACGGACTTACATAGCTACCATCAATCTTGCGATGCGGCACGTCAGACCATTATTCACTGCAAATCGGCTAAACAACGCTCTTGCATACGTAATGTAATCTCATAGCTGCTCAACATCTTACATACTAGAACATCGTATTATAAGGTAATATTCTAATACTACATCTCGATTTTATTAAAAGAACACACTGATACTATAACCCTTCGTCTGTGTATTTTTCTATAAATATTTCAGATAGAGAAATCATTAAAGGCGCTTCATATTCGATTTCGCCAAATTAAATATATTATTAAGGACAACGTTGTAAAAAGGGCTTTATTATAAAATCAGATTCTATTCAAACAAAAATTATAACATCAAACGTAGAAATTTCTTTTATATTTTTTTGAAATACCCTCAAACTTGGAGGGAACTTTGAGAGCTCCCTGTGACATATTTAGAAAGTTTTTGCATTTTCCAGATACTGCACTCTCGCCCGTTTTAATTAAACTATAAACTAAAGTGATTATATAATTGCACTTAGTATATATTTATATAATGTTTAACAAGTTAAATTTACCTTTATAAGGTGTGTTCCAAAGATAGATCATAAAATCTCTGACAAATATTATAAAGCTTATACAAAAATAGCTAAACTGCCTGTTCTGTTTGTCTAGTAGCAATGATAAAATACCGCTAAGCTTGTTATTTCGAATTAAATGATGATAAAAAAGATGTTTTATCATTCTGATATGACCAGTTAGAGCCAAATGTCATCTATCATTTTCATGCGATACCTGAATATAGATTATATTAAAATTTCAGGGTAAAATACTGAGGAATTCAAGCCTAAATAGTGATCCTTTAAAAAACCTCGTACTCGGCGATGATGAGAGTACAAAGTCCTATGAAGTGTCTACTTTACCCCGTAGAAACGTGCCTTCGTCGGAAGTAGGCCCTAGTCACACCTTAGGCAACCTCTTTGGCTTCGTATCAAAAAACTTAGTGAAAAATACAATATTGAATTTGTGAAAACGTTGAAGAGCTTGCTTACAATTTAGACAACTATCTACATTTTTTTCAAGATTGGAACGAAAAAATATCCGAGGCGTTCGACTTTATACTTTTTATGTTATTTGATTTAGGAATATTTTACATTTAACAATACTTAAAGTTACGAGTACTTCTCACCAATGGTGGCTTGCAATCACAAAGCACGTTAAGTTATCTAAAAAATATACTAAACTAGTAGACCCGGCCAAGCGTTGCTGTGGCTAAGGTTTTTGTTATATTACATAGTAGTAAACTATCCAAGAGAAACGGTAAGACCAGTCATGGGGACCACCATGCTTTTTTGGTGGTTATGCCATTAAATAGTAGCTTATGTGAAACGTTGGTACTTTCAACACAGCGCCATCTGTTAGAATTGTGACTATCAAATAATAAACAGATAATTTGCAATAAAATAATATTGCTGGTTTAAATTGAGATGTAAGCCATCATATCTTTTAAGTTAGATCAAACTGCACACTGTGTGCAAATTTGATTTAAAATCAGTTCAGTAGTTTAGGAGTCCATCGCGGACAAACAACGTGACACGTGATTTATATATATTAAGATTAAGATTATGAAGTACTCGACTAAACCAAAGACAATATTATATTGGTGCCAATCAAGAAACTCTAAGAAAGAGCTTGGAATCATAAAACCGTATTATTACGGGCCACAAATCAAACATGTGTGTTGATAACACAAAATGTCAAAGTAATACATTCCATACAACGAAGAGAAGTAGCAATTTACCACTAACCGTAAATATGTATTTATTTATAGCCATCGTCATTAACAATAGGGTTTGACACGGGTTGAAATTACCCGAATGGCTACTGAATAATGCATAATAGTAATATAAATTATGCGTATCACATATATTTAATTTTAAAATTCGGTTTACATGATTTTTAGAGTTTGCTAAAGAAGCAGAGTATCAAATTATTAGTTGTGATTGGTTCCATAAACATGCGGTTGGATTAGAAAAACAATATCGTGTAAGCCTAGTTAAGCTGGTTTTATTTCAGCAATTTTCCAGTGGAGTTCACAAACTGAAGCGTCGGGGCGATTGGAACTCGCGGCTTCGCATTCCACTGTGGAATGTAATCCAGACTTGTTTACAAACTATTATAAACCCGTTATATTCGGGAAATGGAATTTATTGTAAACGTGCTTTAAATATGGTGTAGGAAAAGTTTTTAAAATAAACTATTAACCAACGTTTAGCGAGAATTTAGCCGCGTTTGGGTATATGTTTTTAAGTTTGTCGTTCTCATACATATTAAAGAGCTGGGTACATAAGTTATTAGGCAACGGAAGGCCTTATCACTAACAAGCGATTTCTTCCAGGCAACCCTAGTATGGAAAAATAAAAAAAGAAACACATATAGAAGGTAAAGTACAAGAAGTGCTCAAATAATTAACAAAAGAGAACATAACATATAACACTACCTATAGCTAAAATAAAGTAAAATCTAAACAAAAAACAAAAAATAAATAAATAAACAATAATAATATGTATAAAAAAATTTAAAAGCTAATCCAAGGGTGAGTTGAGTAACAATTAATATAATAGCTAAAGTAGCTAATTACGAGGCAGAAGAAAAATGATCAAAACCAAGATTTTTAAATAAATTTAAAGACTGAGCTCGTCTGATACAAGCAGCAGAAATTCCATAGCAGGATACTTTGCACAGTAAAGGAGAAGTGATAGCAATTCAGTTTTATGAGAAGGAGTTTCAAGAATTAGAATGTCAAGGGAACGGAAATCAAAACTACCGCCAGAAAGTAATGCCCAGGTTCCTAGGTTCCTAACAGTGGAGCATAATGGAATGACGGTATTATCTTTAGTTATTTGGGGTAAAGTTGATCAGTTTATTCTCATGATATACGATGCACTTCCAATGATAATGGACCTATTTATTATATATTTATATTATTTACTCCATTCAACAACTTTGTCCAAATCAAAATGTTTGCCGTGTAAAGCAGAGGGCAATTCATCGAAAGTTGAATGATTGTAAATTT